TCTGCATTTCCTAGTAATATAGCTTGGTGTTTCAGAACATCATTTACAAGAAATGTCACAATCTCTCTTACTCGGCCTTCTTTTAATGGTGTCCAATTAACAGAAATAACTATTTTTTCTTTAGGCTATAATCAAAGAACACGTTTTGAATGAGTATAAAATAGTGATGCATAATAATCAAAACATATTATGTACAGTTTAGAATACAGTAGATGATTAATAATTGTTAGTCACCAATGCTCTACACCCTAATAAGTTTAGTAAGTCAAATATATTTTCTTACCCTATCTAATTTCATTATAAGGAAAAAAGCCACTAATAGTAACAAGGTTCAACAAGAAAATAAAATTATAATAAAATCTTAATTGCATCTACACCCCATAGCCTGGCAGGAATTTGTCAAATGCAAAACCCTGACAATGACAAAACAAACTGTGTCCATCGTTTTTCAGAGGAAAAAAGACAAGTTTTGTTTTAAAGTAGAAACCATAAAACATCATAAACAGCTAGTTTTACGGACTCCAGGAAACAAACTGAGGATTTCAGACGGGAGGGGGGTGGGGAGATGGGTTAGCCTGGTGATGGGTATTAAAGAGAGCACGTACTGCATTGGAGCACTGGGTGTTATACGCAAACAATGGATCATGGAACACTACATCAAAAATTAATGATGTGGGCGCCTGGGTGGCTCAGTCATTGAGCGTCTGCCTTCGGCTCAGGTCATGATCCCAGGGTCCTGGGATCGAGTCCCACATCAGGCTCCCTGCTTGGCGGGAGGCCCGCTTCTCCCTCTCCCACTCCCCCTGCTTGTGTTCCTGCTCTCACTGTCTCTCTCTCTCTCTGTCAAATAAATAAACAAAATCTTTAAAAAATAAAAAAATAAAAAATAAATAAAAAAATTAATGATGTAATGTATGGTCACTAACAAACAAAAACTTTAAAAAAGTGAACTGTTTTACAAAACAGCAAATTCTAACAAAATAAATTGAAAAACCCCATAAAACAACTCTAGTCCGCATAACAAAAAAAAAAAATAAAAAGTATTATATAGATGGAAAAAAAAATCTATCTTCGCATAGAATGAAAAGCAGGCATTCCTAAAGTAGAGGGGAGAGACAGGTTCTTAAAGTGTAACTGAACCACTGTTGGCTCACAAGTTAATGGACCTCAGATTAGAGCTCTTCCCACTACCTTATGAAGCAGTTGTATAGACTAGTCAGACTCCCTCAGCTAATGGTTTATTTTCACACTTTCAGAGGTTCTCAATGGGAAGGCCACAGCAGTCAAATAAGAATATAAATTCTCTAGCTTTTGGTAAGAGGGATGGGAACATTACTATGGCCAATGCAATGCAGAAAAGCTACCCAGGTTGTTCCTGAAGCAACAGTTGTAAAATTAAATTTGATTCACCATTAAAACGACACTGTAGCAGAGGGGAAAAAAAGGAGTATGATATTAAAACTTATGCACCACCCATGCTTGTTTTTTTGCTGTAGACACATTCAGCCAAAACAAAGCTCACTATTTCTCCTGCATAAGTAGTTACCCTGACTCTATTTGGAGTTAGTTTCCCTAATACATATGGACACTAAAACGCATATTAAGATGACTGATAGGAAGCAATAATTTTTTAAAAAGCTGCTCTAACCAAGTTATTCCTGGCAATCCTAAAAATAAATAAATAGCTCTATTAAAACGCTTCTAAGGATGCACCCCGCACGCGCGGTGATGTGCTGTCACCGCCCAAATTAGCACTTACCCTAACCATCTATAGAGCAGGTGGGATAAGGACTAGCCCAGAATCAGTGAAAAGGAGCTAAGGCGTCCTTCGTTTGTGGGTGTCTTTGCCAAGTCGCGCCCCCCCCCCGCCCCGCCCGCCCAAAGAGGGCACAGGAGAGCAGGGAGCGGGGGCCCGGGCCCGGGCACGCCCCGCCCACCACCTACCTGCAGCTCGAACCAGCGCTGCGAGACGCTAAAGCCCTGCTCCGCGGCTGGGAAGTGGGAGATCTTCACTTCAGCGACCTCGTCGTTAGGGTTGTCCAGGACCAGAGGCAGCGTCCGCGAGGCTCCCAAGCGCACATCTCCGAAGCAGAGGAAAGGCGACCTGCAGAAGTGGCTGAGAGACAGGACCGGCGGGGAAGCTGCCGCATCCTCGGCCGCGGCGCCCCGCAGCCCAGCCGGCGGCCTCCGCTCGGTGGGGCTCACTTCCCAGCTTCGCCCCACACGCCGGGTCGCCATGGCAGCTTCGAGACGCCGCCTAGAGATTCTGGCGCAGCTCCCACAAAGCTGCTGCGGAGCGGGGACCCCGGCCGCGGCCCCTCGGAGGCGGCTTTGGGGGTCGTACAGCGAATTCTAGCCCCTCTCGTTTCCAGTCGCCGACACGCCGGAAAAAAAGAAACAAACGCCACAAATTCGCAAACTCCAAAGAGGAGCAAAACAAGTGTGGCCCTAACCTCCGTTTAAACTTCTCGCCTCCACCAATGGGCGCGCCCGGGAACCGCCCACTTCCCCACAAGGCCAATCAATGGGCAGCAGCCTCCGGCCAATGGGACGACAGCGCCTTATTTAAACAATTACAAGGGCAGCCGCTCGCTCTGCGTGAGGAGGGCGAAAACCTTGGTGGAGTCTTGGCGACACCCCAAAACTCGTGGTTTAGAATTGAAATTAGCTTATTTGTAAACAGGTTGGGTTAAAGGGGACAGAGTAGCAGCATTTCCACAGTAAATGTAGCAATCATTGCGGGTGCCCGAGACAACCTTAGGTAAAACCGTTAAGTAGGCAAAAATTAATTTAAATCATTCCTCCCATCTAATAGACCCCACCCATAATTATACTAATTAGCTTTCCTTTTGCGGTTTCCTGGGGAGAGATGGGAGAAAAATGAAGAAAATTAAATTTACAGTTGTGTGAACGTGCTTATTTCAGTGACTGACCATACAAGTGCTCAGTAATTTTCCATGCTGGTTCTTACCTCAGGATTCAGGGAGCAAAACTAGATAAACAAAGAAAACCGAGATTCCCAAGAATTCGTAAGTAATGGTTTTGACAGCCAGTGCCCTTGACAACTTCTTGGTTTTTAACTGTAGGTATCTAATAATGATTATGGCTTGCATATTGCTGTTACTATATTCCAGGGATTGTTTAAAGTCCTTTACACATTTACCTCAACTTTCACTTCAACTCTGTGAAATAGCTCCTATTATTTGTATTTTACAGATGAACAATACAGAGCATACAAGACAGCAAGTTGCAAAGCTAGGATATGTACACAGGCAGTTTTTAGTCTTGCTCTTACCCACTATACCATACTGTCTCTAAAGATAGTAAGAAACTATAATGTATGGATGTGTGTATGGGTACACGAAGTATATAGAAAGCAAAGTCTGAGTAGAAAAATGAGAAAGGGGAGATATTAAATTATATTCACTGATGCCCAACATAACCTGAAGTTGAATCCTGTTACCTTAACAATTTTTAAACAAAATTATTGAGGTTTTTTTTTGGGGGGGGGTGGGGGAAGCCTTTAGGATTGATGCACAATAAGAACACTACTAGTTTTTTTAAGCAAAAAATGTTAATATTAATTACAATGATTTTCAGGTACACTTAATTTATATTATTTCATGTTATTGTTATTCATCAAATTAACATTGCAAATATAAGTCCTCTTATTAAAGCTTAAGTCACTGAAATGTTTGGTTCAACTCTTTTAACATAGTGATAGCACATTTTGTTTTATGTTTTCCCTTCATAGTTTTTCATGAACAAATGCTATTAACACAATTTTTTTTTTAAAGAAGCACTATGAACTGTACTGGATATTTTTTATTTGCCCCTTCACTTCTACTCCCCACTGTTTTCCAGACTGTTCTTTGCTGTGGGATTCTGATCTACATTCTGTATATGCTACATTAATAGCCTTTTTACTCTGTGGCTTCTGTTTTGCTTCAAACAGGGAGGTCACTAAAGAAAAAGAGGGAGGGGAGGGTACTTACTTCCTCCCCTCTCCCACCTTGGGCTGATTACATCTCAACATTAAAAGCGACACATAGCTGAACAGGCGCCCTCTCCACATGGGTCTTTCCCCTCAACCCTTTGGATCTGGGGGAGGGAATACCATAGTTGTTAATAGTTTCTGGGTATTGCATTATTGCTTGTTTCCCTACATCCCAGTCACATCTTTGCAAATGCAGGTGATCTTAGAACAACATGGGTTTGAACTGCACTGGTTCACTTACAGGACTTTTTACAGTACTGTAAATGTATTTTCCTCTCTTATGATTTTCTTAACATTTTATTTTTTCTAGCTTACTATATTGTTAGGAATATAGTATATAATACATATAACATACAAAATATGTGTTGTTTATGTTATTGATAAGGCTTTTGGTCAACAGTAGGCTATTAGTAGTTAACTTTTTGAGGAGTCAAAAGTTATGCACAGATTTTCAACTACACCAGGTGTCAGCTCCCCCAACATCCACATTATTCAAGAGTCAACTGTATTTCGCAGCCTCTCTCTCAATCTACACCTTGGGAAAATTGGGGATTTCCTTATGACCATTTCGTAAAGGAAGGAAAAGCCTGGTTTATGGACAGAACTGTATGGTAACCCAGATGTTCCATTTGTTTATGGTCTTTGCATTCAATTTTTAAGGAGGCATGCAGAGTATGTTCTGCATTCCCATGCTGTTAAAATGTGTTCAATAAAACCTAGATATGCTTTATTAGGACCAAAGAACTTTATATTTATTTTAAATATCAAAATAACACAAAGAACTAGTTCAATATACAATACACTTCCTAGTCTTCACAGAGAACTGAATTTTTCTATACATTTGTACTTATGAAACGAGACAGCTAAAATATCTATGTAACTCACAAGATACTTCACACAGTTGACAAAATAATGAATTTTGATATTTTAGATTTTTCTTTGTAATTGCTTTTAAGTGTCCTTTAATGATTAAAAACAAAACTTATGATTTGAGACTGAAGGCTAAGTTCAAAAGCATTTCCACTTTAATGTACATCACAAATCCCTTTAATTAGAACACTTACTACACAACATGGAGCAGCTAAATGCCCACCTTTGTATTCATTCTTTTTGGCAGCCACACTCATCTATTGTAATACAGTTGTATCTATAGGGATAAGAAAAGTCCAATTGTTGGAAGAAATAAAAATTTTGTAATTACACCACAGTACACTGTCCAACTTTAACGCAAGCAGGAATACCAAGCAAAGAGGCAAAATAACAATGAGTATACATGCTCTTCATTCAAGAAATGTTTTAGAATCTCCAACAATAATGCAAGCACTGAAATTACTTTTTTACTTAAGATTTAAAAAAAGATACGTCCATCTTTATATAACCTCTATTCTCTGAATATAATTCTTATTTTCTCTTTGTATAAATGGCTGCAGAGGCTAAATTTAAATTGTCTTGGGCTTCTTCAATAGTCATAGACTTAAGATCAATACATAGCAAGTTGAATGAAACATGAAGAGTAAACAAAACATAGTCACTCTACCAAGACCTTCTTTCTCTCATCTTCCACACAACCTAATCCTATTATTTCTATCTTATTAATGCTACTTCCAAAGAGAAGAGCAGAAAGCATGCTAATATTCTAGGATAAAAGTATCTTTAAGTTGAAATAACATTAGAGAAACAAGAGGGTGATCCCCCAAAAGAACACTACAGATTTACCAAGAGAGGAATGTGTAAAAGAAGGGGAGTATCTAAGGAAGAATTGCCTATAGTTCCTAGAAATTATTTAGAAAATTATTCTCACATTATCCATTATTCACCCTAATCACAAGTAACATTTATCATAACACTATTTAAAGTTTTAGAAATGCTACTTGTTCCTTATTAAAGAATACACTTTTAGTTACTTCAAATTTGGCACTGAATCTTAGAATAATCCAAGTATGAATTTAAAAGTCCTTATTTTTCCTGAGTTCATCAACTCAATTGTATGTTGGTTGGAATGTTGCTGCTCCTAATGAGAAACTCATCTCAAACCATCACCTCTAGTTCAGTTTTAGGCAAACTGAAATGAGAAGCCATTCAATGTAGAGCTGTGCAGTTATGGGAACTGATTACTTTTAAAAAGGGAGGGGAGGGTGAGTGGGAGGAGGAGACAGAGAGGCAGACACACTACTCATTTTATTTTATTTGTCAGATTCTTCTAATAAGCGTCTAGAGACAGGCCCTGGAGTGGCTTCACAGTAACTATAAAGGCCACAAAAGAGATTTTAAAAAACCAAATGTTCACACTTGTACTTAGTGCCATTTTCCTAAATAATCATAAAATAATCTAAAAAAAAGTGTTGCCTGACCAGCAGGCAGCACAAACATAAAACCCATAACAACAACAACAAAATCAAAATCATTTATTAACCAGTACAATCTAGCCAGCAGAATCAATTTTAAGCAACTACAACACAGCGAAAAGGCACAAAGCATTCAATTCAGAAAAGACTGGGTATAAAAAGGACACTGTCAAAGAGCTAATGCTCTAAATCTGACTTTTCATCAATGATATGTTAAAATGATCTGGTAGGAAAAGAACTCAAACTTATAAACATACCAGTTTAATTGTGTTTTTGTTTGCAATTAAAGAGTGAAAAGCAATGAATGATATTTAATTACTTATTAGCCCTTAACAGTTTATAGTCACTCTGCAAAGATGTCTTGACACTTTTAAAGTTGACAGAATATTAGTGTACCTATTTCATGACCTACAATCACTTAAAAGGAAGTCATTTAATAAAGCACCAGTTTAAAACCCTATTTATGCTACTCCTTTTGTCCCAGCAATAAATGACTAAATTACTTAAAAGTACGCAAAGATCATTACCTTTACAGTTGTTGGTTAAATCTTGCTGGCATGAAGAACAAACCCTAAACTTAAATGGTATTTTAGGCTGCAAAAAATAGGTGGGGTTTCTTATAAAAATAAGTTCAACTTGTCTTAAAAAAAAACTCTAAGGCAAAATTATTTTAATAGTGTAGTGTAAAAAATAAGCTTATTATTTAGCATTTAATAGTGTCCACTTAAAGATAACATTTAATTAATTAAACTGAGGAAAACTGAGTATTCTTACTTGTAATTGATTTGTCAGTATGACTATTCCCAGAGTGTTTTCTTCTGTTTTTATTTTTATACATATAAACACAAACACTTAATCTTAGTATTCAAACTAACGATTTTTTTAAAAAATCCATAATCCTAGGACTTCAACTGTGCTTCTTTGGACAAATATTTATTCAAACAACAAAGAATTTTAATTCTTTTAAACTATTTTAATACCTACTAAAAATCTTTGGTGCATTTAAGTAAAAACTGATTAGGTTAACAAATTTCTACACTTCATAAATTATTCAATTTACATATTAAGTGCTAACTGCTATCAGCTAAAAAATTAATTTAAAACAATAAATTATGTTCATAAAATAAAAAATTCTGAATGAGGCTAAACTTAGTTGCAAGATTCAAAATTTTAAGTATAGTTACAAAATTAATGGACTTTAGAGTTAATGGAACATTTGTCCAAATACTCCAAATATTACAAAAGGTTAACTGAAAAGAGTAGGCCTCATTACATATTTTTTGTGCCAACTTCAACAACTTATATACATTCAGTTTGCCCAAATCCATGAGGTTTTCACAATTTTAAAATTTCCTACATTCTAATTTTGGAAATTAGAGGCAGCAGATTTGTGTGTGTTTGTCCACCCGCTGAGATAATTTCTTCGTAAGAATTATACTATCTAATTCCCAGACTGTTTAAGATTACATGAGAAAATGTAGTGCCTGGCACATAGTAAGCATTTAGTAATGCTGGCTTTCTTTCCCTATTAGTAGCTCTACCATTTATTAATGATATGAGCTTAACTGAGTCCTTTATCTTAACCTCAGATTCTTCATCTCTAAAATGGGAATATAGCATGTCCTTTCTCTTTCAGAGCTGGTTATGAGGTTAAACAAGATAACTGAAAGCATTTTATGAAAGAGTAAACCAGTATTCAAGTTTACCTACAATAATAACTAAATATAATTCTATTTCACTTTACATTAAGAGATGTATTCCAGAAAAGTTTTATACCATAAACCAATCCTACAATCAAATTATATATTTAAAGCATTAGGAAATTATTATTAAAATAATCCTAAAGTAAATACCTTCAAAAAGCAAAGTATTCTTTTCAATGTGAAAATGCAACACCTTCTTTCTTTCTTGCTACCAAGCATACAATATACCATACAGACACATACATATCATCTGCCTTTTTATAAGTCCAAACTTTTCTATGATGGTTTATATGTAAGGCAGGGTATACTTTTAGGTATTATTTTGTCTCATTACAGGAAGTTTTTTAGTTAAAAGTCTCGCTGGTCTTTATGATAAAAATCATAAAGATCTGTATTTTTAAAAGTCAATTTGAAAGACTAACAGACTAACAATAGTACCTCATATAGTCAAGTTCAATCATGTAAGTACCCCAGATATAACATTTCCACACAAAAGTAAGAACCTTTTAAAAAGAAGAATACATTAATTATATCTACTGGTCCTAGATTAATTACAACCAAACCTTGATGACTGAGGCAAAATTCAGGTCGGTTTTGTTACTTGTATGAGCTACTTTGGTTAACTGCCTCAATCTCAACATTTTTTCTTCTTTTGTTTTATTGCCACTAGTATGGTGAATGTTCCTCTAAAGTACCTTCATTTCTTAAGTGCTTCAGCAAACAAGTTTCCCCATTATTAAGTGGTTAAATTTTATTCATTAAAACTTCATTATTTTATTTGTGATTTTTTTCACAAGGGCTGGGCCAGACTTTACAGTTTACACACAAAAAAAAGTGCTTAAAGCAATTAGGAGTGTAAACAAAACTGAACTAGAAAACTCTTAAAATTGCTATTTTCCAGTAGTTTACATACAAATGACATGCTAATAATAAATCAACCCTGCCTATTCTAATCCTTCAAGCAGCTCTACTAGGAAACATTATCCTAGCTTAAGTTTAAATTGACTTGAAAATATGGAAAGTGCACATCTTTAAAGGTATTTTATAATTTTGACTGACTTTTTCCTCAATTAATTTTTATCAGTGAGGTTTTTGCTCTAACTGCTATTTCCTTTCACCAAGTCCTCAACTTTTATCTCCTACAAAAATAAAAATCAAGGATAATTACAGACATTAGGCTTCTGTGAAAAGCAAAATAAAGATCTAGATTACATGTAAATCTGTATACAAATAGTGGTTCCCTTTAATTAAAGTAAACATTAAGTTTAGTTAGGCATGAATTTTATAATTTGTTTGGCACCTTCCCTAACAATTATATATGAAATACCTAGGTTCTGTTTCCCACAATTTTGTTAGCCAAAGTAAATGAGACCAAAAGTAGCGTGTTAATTAAATTTCACTGATTAGTTATAATTGCCCCTCCTTTAGTGAGATGAAGATACCTGGTATGATGTATTTTTGATGTTTCTTAAATGACAGAATGTAAAAGATGAACTTACCTTCAAAGCTATCTAGTTAAAACTGTCATAATTTGTCTTTAAGACATTTTCAACTTGTATAATTTAATGCCTATACATTAAAAATTTGTATTTCTTACTCATAATAATTGAAGCATAGGCAAAAACCAATCATTTGGAGAATTATTTCAATTCTAGGTTTCATTTAACAAGCTAATCTTAATTAAGTTAGCTTTCTGGCTTTGAGTTTGTCAAAAGACCAAAGGATTAATAATAACCTAAAATTAGGGCCACATAAAAAATAAAAAACACAGAAATATCCAAGACTTCCCTATAAATTTAAATTCCTAATTTCAGTTTTTTAAAATGTGGAAGAAGCAATAATGAATCTTAAGTTAGGACAAGGAAGAGTTGTAATTATCAGTGTACTCTTATATTCTTTCTTAAAGGCTACATGGTCCTTAAGCTTGTTTAGAAGATGGTGAAGGGAGAAAAAAGGATCAAAACTGAACAAGAATAAAAATTTCCATGGATAATTAAGAACAAAACCAAAAACAAAACCATAAAGTCAACAGCCAGTAATTTTGAAAAGTCTGAGAAACCATTAAAAATTAGCACTAAGTCATCTTTAAAAATCACAGAAATGTCATTTCAAATATTATACCTCCAAATGTGTCCAAATATTCATTCATATGTTCAGTAAACAGGTATACATATTTTTCTTGATTTGAAACGGTTCTGAGGACTGGAGAAACTAGAGAAAATGAAAAAATAGCAGCCTTACTAATTTAAAAGCCATCAGTCTAGGCTACCATTAGCACATAACCATCAAAAAAGTCTGTGGAATGTTTAGATTTACTCATGAATGATGCTCATTATTAGAAATACTTTGTACAGCAGTAGCATTATCGAGGCCTAGTAACGTTCCAAGATAAGACTGTTCTCTAGGATCTAGCATTTGTTCAGGTCGTACTGGATGAACTATATTTGCAGGTTGAGGAGTGAGAGTATACTTTTCCAGAAAAGCTAAATCAGCTGCTCGGGGGTAATCAGTTGCTTGTGGCTGCGGCGACAAGATCTCATGAGAAGGTGGTGGCAGCGTGGTTGTATGACGCACCAGATCACTCTGAGTGTCCGGCATCTGAACTGGAACCAATGTTACTGGAACACACACTTCAGCAGAAACATTCTGTAACAAAGTCTTGGCTTCTGACTGATAAACTTTGGGCTGGTCCATATATTGTTTTGTTTCTGTTTGAAAGATTTTATCATCAGATGAGTATTCTACTGGCAAAGATACAAGTTTTTCCTCAGAAGTACTGAGAGGATCGTCAGGAGATTTTATGCCATGAACATGGTCAATGTGGTATTTCAGCTTGTCTTTCCGCTTAAATGTTGCATTACAGTGCTGACAGTTGAAAGGTCGGGCATCAGAATGAATAACCAGGTGTTTTGTTAAAGTTTTCTTAATTCTAAAAGATTGATTGCAAATTTGACACTTGTATGGTTTTTCACCTGTATGAACAAAAATGAAATTAAGTGTAAAATGCATTCATTTGGTAAGACAGTGATTTAAAGTAACACATTTTCCACACGAATACTCACAAGAACTTAATAAAAGCAGTGATATTATATGTTATCACAATGAAGAGAACGGGCTCAAACATTAAAAAGATCCGGGTTTGAATTCTAGCTGTACCACTTCCAGTCAAACCTGGAGCAAGACAGTTTCTAAGCACTGTTTCTTCGCCAGTAATATGGAGTAACAATAGTACCTACATCAGAGTTGGTAAATGGATTGAATGAGAAAATGAGTAGTGCTTAGATCTGTACCTGGCATAAGAACTTAATGGACCCAAACTATTATTGCTTTCTTTTACTCCTACTACAGCCCCTAAAAAAGTTGTAAAACCAAAACATCTGATTTCCTCCCACACAAGAAGGGCAAAAAGTAAAACAGCAATTCTGATTAACCAGGTTCTTAGAATCAGGCTAAGAAGTAGTTATACTTATGTCTAGCCTGAGGTTAACATAAGGAGAGTTGATCAGGGTAAAGAACAAGGAAACTGGACTAGTTTTCACTTCTTTCTGAGTCAGGTTTCCACACTGTAGTTTTGGGTTTGTTTTTGGTTTTGTTTTTTTTAAATATGAAACATTATAAATTCCTACGTTAGCCAATGTGATAGGCAGAATAATGGCCTCCCAAAGATGTACACATTCTGGGAGCTATAAATATGTTATTTTCCATGGCAACAGGGACTGTGCAGATCTGATTAAGATTAATGACCTTGAAATGGGGAGATTAACTGGATTATCCAGGTGGGCCCTATTTAAACACATGAGTCTTCAAAAGTGACTGCTAACTGAGGAAGAATGGGTCAGAGAGATGCAACAGGAAGATAATTCAACCCCTGCATTGCTGGCTTTGAAAATCGAAAAGGGGCCAGGACCCAAGAAATGCGGTGGCCTCCAGAAGCTAGGAAAGACTCTCAGCTTACAGTAAGTAATAAAACTAGAACCTGGGTTTTGGTCCTACAGCTCAAAGAATCAGTTCTACCAATAAGACAGTTGAGAAGGAAACGGATTCTTCCCTAGCGCTGCCAGAAAGAAATGCAGCCCTACCAACAGAGTAGGGCTAGATTTTAGCCCATGTCAGATTTCTCACCAACAGAGCTATAAGATCATACACAATTATATTGTTTAAGCCACTAACGTCGTAGTAATTTGTTACAGCAGCAATACAAAACAAATAAATCCAGACATACAACTGTACAATAGATACAAAGGCACATATTTTTAAAGCTAAATGAAAAGATTTTATATTAATTGTTATATTGGTTTGTTGATAGCACTGTTTTCTTCATCTTTCCATTTAAAACAAGGCCAATTCTAGAAAATTAAGAGAACTGCATCTTCAAGTTGAGCCACTAATATCAAACAATTAATTATTTGTTAAATATTATTGCTTAATTGTTATTTTGTAGACCATTAGAACTTTCAAATCCCAGTGAAGAAAATTTATACAGACTGGGATGCTGGTTTCTGGTACTATTAGATTTCTACTAGTTTCTAGACTAATATCATTACTGATGTTACTAAAGAAGAAGTAAGACATGAAGTAATACATTATATAAAGGGTTAAGATTCCTGAAAAGATAGTATTTGCAACTGTGCATAGAACACACTGTATCCAACATTTGATTTCACCTGAAATACCTAGAATCAGGGACAGTATGAAAAAGCTTATAAAAGACTGTCCTGAAAAACAAAATTATACTTCCAAAATGCAAGAACTATAAAGTTCTTTCTATAATTCCTGGCATCAAAACCAGTCACACCAGGAGCTTTTTACCTAGCACAGCATTATTAACACCACCACCAAGCACAGAATTTATTTTTAAAGATAAAAGTATTGGTTTTAAGTGTTCTCCTTCGGCACAGTACTAACAACCATGATAGTTTCTTAAGCACATTCATTAAGAAGCTTTCATAAAGGACTTAAAGTCCTAGTCAGTCAGTTCCAGTGTCCCACAAATACTTTTAAGAAACTGGGACCCAAACAGGCATAATTCTTTGAGAAGTTTCTAAGATCATTTTAAACAAATGTCATTTTCCAATATAAAAATCAATTTAGGTTTGTAAAAAGATAAAGATCCACAAAGGAAATGTTGATATTATTATATTTAAAAAGTAAATCTAGAGTGCTTAAAGATACATAGTGAAAAGGGTAAACAACTATGAACTTAATGAAAAGAGGAATACATATTAAAGAACTATACTTTCTACAGCAAGTCTTTCTGTAGCAAAATTACCTATTTGTTAATAATTCAAGCTAGATGCATCTCAATTTCATATATCAGAGACCTAAGGAAACAAAGGAAATGTCTCTTGCAAGATATATAGAAAGGAGTCTATTTTTTAAGAGTAGGAGTAGATAAAACAATGCTCAAAGAAATGTAATCTATTTCTCAGCTAAAATCATAGTAACTTATGAGTTTTTAGAATTAAAAACTGTTGGGGCGCCTGAGTGGCTCAGTCGGGTAAGCATCTTATTCTTGATTTCGGCTCAGGTCATCATCTCAGTCATGAGATTGAGCCCCACATCAGGCTCTGTGCTCAGCGCAGAGTCTGCTTGAGATGCTCTCTTCTTCTTGCCCTTTGCTCCTCCCCCCACTCATGCTCTCTCTAAATAAATAAATAAAATAAAATCTTTAGAATTAAAAAAGTCTTCCAGTGGATCAGTTATGTTTAGATTTTAAAAACTAGTATACGAAAATAGAACTCGAGAACTTCCATTCAGATTTGATGGAGTAGTTTATGTCACACTATGTCTCTTGCTGGTGAAGGGGAAAAAACAAGATTTTTAAAAACTCAAAACAATCTACTCTTTAGAGGCACTGAAGTACAAACAAGGCAGCCAGGACGTAAGAGGCCAAGGTTCTGGAGACACAGGAAGATATGGAGGTGTTTTCTTTTCTCAATGCACTTTCAGACTTAAAGTATAGAGAAACAGAGGCCAAGTGGCAGCCGAGGGCTTGATGACATTCCCCTGGAATGGAAAGATAAAAGCTGGAGTTTGGAACTACCAAGGATTTAAGGGGTCAAGAGCCTGGAAAGAACAACAAAGAAATGAACAAAAATGCCTCTATTTTTCAACTCCCAAGATGAACATTTGTTGGATGAGACAGCTAAAAACCAGAGGCTGGGATTACTGAAGGTTTGAACAGATACTGCAGCAATCCCAAGGGTACTGCGGAGACAAAGATTGGAGTTTAAGTCTCACCAAAGTGGGGAGACTCTGGTACAAACATCATACTTCAGTTGAGACCCCAGAATGATGATGAACTAGAAGAAAGGTAGAGTAGAAATAGACCAGAAAAGATCAATGCCATCTCAGTCTATCTGCTTGTGAGAAAATTAAATATATCTGGGAAAAAATACAACTTCAGGGGCTTCTACAATTTTTCATTCACAAAATCTAAAGTTCAATTCAAAACTGTCAGGCATATCAAGAAACAGAACCAAATGGCCAAACGCCAAAAGAGGGAGGAAAAAAAAAGATAACAGATACACCTAAAGGTAAAGAAAAATTATGTAAGACCTGAAATATTGAGTATGATTAATATGTTCAAGAAAACACAGAAAAGAGAATTTCACCACAGAACTGGAATCTATTGGAAAAAAGAAATTTCTGGAACAGATAAATAACTGAGCAATTCAGTAGATGGATTCAGTAGCAAATTAGATACTACAGAAGAAATAATCAGTATAGTGGAAAATGGATCAGTAGGAATTATCCAAATAGAAGCACACAGAAAAATAGGATTGAAAATACAGAAATATGCATGGGTGGCTCAGCTGGTTAAGCATCTGACTCTATTTCAACTCAAGTCATGATCTCAGGGTTGTGAGATCAAGCCCTGTGTTGGGCTCTGGGCTGGGCATGAAGCCTGCCTGAAATTCTCCCTCTGCCCCTCCCACCAGAATGCACATTCTTTCTCTCTCTCTAAAAAAAACAAAACAAAACAAAAGAAAATAGAAAGAGCATGAGATACATATATAAAAGACAAAGTAAAATATCTAACATACATAAATTGGAATTCCAGAAAAAGGAGAGAGTACAGAGCAAAAGCAATATATGAAAGACAAAATGGCTGAGAATCTTCTTAAACAATAGAAAGACATCTCAAGTCACAGATGCAGTAAGTTCTACAAACCTCACAAAATACGAAAAAAAAAAAAACAAAAACCCTAAAGCCAAAAAGCACATCTGGGCACACTATAATAAAACTACTAAAAATCACAGATAGAAAAATCTCAAAGAACAACCAATTAAAAAGAGACATTTCTGGGGTGCCTGGGTGGCTCAGTCGTTAAGCATCTGCCTTCGGCTCCGGTCATGACCCCAGGGTCCTGGGATGGAGCCTCGCATCGGGCTCCCTGCCCAGTGGGAAGCCTGCTTCTCCCTCTCCCACTTCCCCTGCTTGTATTCCCTCTCTTGCTGTCTCTCTTAAAAAAAAAAAAAAAAAGAGGCATTTCCTTTAAATGAGCAACAATAAGAATAACAACAGTATACTTTTCAACAAAAACAAAAGAAGTTCAAAGAGGAAAAATGACATATTTACAATGTTGAAAGAAAATTAACTACTAATGTAAATTCTATAGCCAGGAAAAATATTCTCCGTAAAGAAAAATAAAAACATTTTCAGATAATCAAAACCTATGAGAACTTGGTGCCTAGGCACCAAAGGAGTTCTTCTTGCATAAGGAAAAAATTCCAGGTGGAAAAATGCAAATGCAGGAAGTAGTAACAGTAATGGGCAAATATATGGTTAAAAATAAATGAGTTATTTAAAACCAAAAAATTACGTCTTATGTAGTTTAAAGTGCATGTAGAATTAAAATACATACCATGCATAAAAGGTGAGAGCTAAGGGTATTGTAAGGTCTTTGCATTGTCTAGAAATTGATAAAGAACTAACAAGATAGACTCTAATAATTTATGAATACACATA